TATCTGGATGACTAACAGTGTCCCTGGTGGGAATTTCTCACTTGGTAATTTAAAAGCCATCAGGGGAGTTGATAATGAACTTTACACAATTTATTAGTACAGTTACATCAACAGGAAATGAAGCATATTTGAACTTACAAGAGTTAATGATCTGTATACCAGATTAAAACATTCTTGTCTCAAAACATATGAAACAAAAAGGATAAAAATCTGTAAAAACTGCTGACTCGGCACTATGATATAACATATAAGATATAACAAGTTATATAGCAACGACTTTAAGATAAAAAAAAAACCATTGTGTTTTAACAAAGCTTTAAGTGACCGAGCTAATTTCAATGATTGTGTCATAGATTTAACATTTAGTTTCCAGTTGTGAAATTTCTTAAAAAAGGAAACAAAAATTAAGTAAGTCTCTGAAAAGCTTCCATTAACAGTTGAGATAAATTTCCTAACGATAACTAAATAACCAAGATTTTTAACAAATAAATATAAAATTCACATTTTCTCTTGCTGATGTGAAATAACAAATATCAACATGGTGACTCCGAAGTATTTTTCCTTTGTGACGTCAAAATACAAGTAGAAGTCTAGATCTGAAGCCATGAGGAACTGACATCATAATACAGTGGGAGATAATACAGTCTATCATAGCTCCGCTGGATGTTACTGAATGTGTGCTCATAACAAAATTTATATGTGTGTTTCCTTACTTATAGCTACCGATACCATGCTAGTTATGTAATAAACTATAATATCACACACATACATTGTGAAAAACATAAAATAATATATGTACATGTATGCTCGATAAATTCAGCTATCTAAATGAATCAAAAATCTTTTCATTTTATCTGAAATTTAATATGTAGAATTAAAATACTATTTCACTTAAAATAATCATCTGTTAAGGAGGTAGAAAGAGGTGCAGGTCATGTGATACATAGCAAGTTTCAGATATAGACATAAAGTATATACCAGGCAGCTGTAATTATTTTTGTTTCATTAACAAGAGGTTCAGAGGGCCATTCACTGGACGGTTATGATGAGTATTGAGTAAGCTTGAGCATTCTGCTTGCAGACTAAATGAGCTGAATAACTGAACAAAGGAGGCTAGAAGATGCTTGCTGGTCAAACATTTTTCCTTATGCCAGCATGACAGTGTTTTACCCTCAACAGAAAGATGTCAATAGGACTTATATTGTATATCTAAAACTTCTTACTTTTGGAGCAGCTGTACAAAGTTTGTAACATATTTGACCCCTTGTCAAGGTCATTTATTCACTGAAACTTTATGGTACTTCACCCCAGATATCTACATGCTAAACATCCTCACGAATCCAAGGTATCCATGCATATGTTCAGGTACATAAAAGTTTGCGATACAGTGGAACCTACTTATTATGATATTTTTTCCAATGAACGATTATTTCTTCTATAACTAAGCAATTTAAGCCATGGATCCGGCTAACTACAACGCCCAAGGTAATCACCTGTGTCCACTCCAGGTAAATTTTTCACACCTCGCATCACCCCAGTCAGCGGAAAACCATAGATCAAAAATAGAACAAAATTAAACGTGTGGTGCAGTAAATTGTTATGTAAAATACACTGTAGGACTGGGTATCAAATTGAAATGATAAGGCCTACCAACATTTTCTAACAGAAATTCCGATATGAAAACGAGTATGCCTTTCAGAAATATTCAGTTACTTTGACACATCATTGGAGAAAATAATGCCGTTTCAATGAAAACAGTACTTCAGAAGGAAGGCACGTGTTTTTAATCGTTTAATCAACAGCTTTTCTATTGCATTAAAGGTCATTTTCCAGTGTCTGTTGAAAAAGTAAAATCAGGACATACGCCCTGACAGCATGGTGCCCGAGATTGATCAAAAGTTAACGTTATTGTCGTAACCAACTGACGCGGCTGCTTTATTTACAATTTATACAATTTTCATTAATAACATTATTTGAGTATTGTTAAAAAGGGAATAGTTTGTGTTTTTAATTGTTATTGTTTCTTTGCAAGTTGATTTCACCGCAGGACTTGCAAGGCATGCGATCGTCATGTGTAATTGACATAGCACGGCAAAATATTTGTATGCTGATGGGACAAAATGTAACGCAATTTCTTGTTGCAAAAATGGTAAATCATGACTATCTATATCACTTCTTTCATTCTATTGACTGTAACATTACGATATCGTTAGCTACAAGTGTAGGATGTAGTATAAAGATAGTTCTTAGGAATATGCTCGAAGTTATTGGAAAGTGAAAGTAGAATTTACATATATACTGATCATTACGATGGCAAAACGAAATCTTTTCAAACATCCTGATGTAAATAACAAGAGGCCCAAGAGGGCCTGTATCGCTCACCTGAATATTTAAGCAGTCATAGCAAAATATTCTCATTAAATATTATATTGCACTAAAAATATTTCCCTCGCAAACTTTGTTGGCTCCATCTGTTGAAACTACCAGCAAAATATTATTATAAGATTCTATGCTTTTTGATTCTTCTTCAGAAGTTG